TAGTAATATATTTAAGAAGAAAACACGAAACAGAAGCACCATGACATGGTTTACTCGACTTTTTCCTTTAAACAGATTATGAGGATGCTTTTGACATCCGTCCAGCCACTAAAAAGACTGTGAAAGGTATAAGGCCTTTTCAATTTTTTTATTTTTTTGAAAGAATTTATACTATATTATAAAACAATGAATCTAGGGATGCCTTGTACCACCCAAAATTTTTTAGCTGCTACTACCAAGCTGGCGCATGGAGTACCTGACTGCATTGCTTTTGTTTTTTGTTTTTTTTTATGTCAAACCAACAAGATCGGTATTTTATATTATTAACGTTATCCTCACCAATCAAATCACAGATTCTAAGTTAGTCTTATGAATGAGTTCATGTGATTAGCTAGGTATTTCCCTCCTTTTTTGAAAAACCTTTTTTGAAAAACTTCCAATTGACAAGTCGGCTGTTGTCAGAGAAATGCAATTGATGGTCTTGAGGTGACAAACTAAAGGATATTGGTCAAAATTAAAAGCATTCACCTAAAAGGTGCACGCAAATAAATTTCTTCCCTGAAAATGATCCACGCCTGGTTAAGGCCTTCAAAGGATCAGTATCAGTGTACATGAGTTTAACTAAGATAGATGTATAAGTATATTGTGAAATTTAAGGCTCTTCAGTGCATATTGTTTAGAACTGTTCTTGCTCTCGTTACAAATTACCTTATTTGGGTAAGTAGTTATGTTTATATCTACACGTAGCAAGACTCGGATAAGTTGAGTAATCAGCTTTTGAGCCTTTACGAAACAACGATCAATTTAGTCAAATAAAGGGCGTAGTTGATATTGCTGCAGTAACCGTTCATCATGGAGAAAGCCAATACCGACGAAAAAGACGAAACGGAGGTAATTATGTGTCTACACCCATACAAGGTTCTAATGTTGAAAATTACATAGTTCTATGAAAGTGCTAATTAACATTGAGTTAAATATCCTAAAGAATCTACAAAAAAGAATGTAGGTGACTGAGGGATAGGGTACGTGTTTGTAGAAACCTTTCTTATGATGGACAGTAGTTGTAACTGTAGCAACTGACTGAAGGTTCAAACTATATCGCGATTATTGGGCGTTTTAAGTATAGAACTTTGATTTAAATAAGATAAAGAGACATGAATTTCAAGGTTGTTAAAAACTTATAACAGAAAGCGAGTACTAGCTTGATCTTTAGTCATTATCATTATTATTATTATTATTATTATTATTATTATTACTGCTTTTAAAAAGTTACCGGGAAGTTGCATGTAGGTCAAGGGTATGCAATCATTGTACTAATCCAGGACCGGAGGTAACGGAGAAAATAGTGATAACTGAGATTAAAGGCCCTTCAACAAAGATATTAAGAAGTGATAGTAGTTCACAGCTGACTGTATAAACACTACTTCGAAATTGGGGTTGAGTGCTGTCCCTGGTGCCCCACCCAGAATTCTCGATAGTTTCATCCT